ACCTGTCGGGAGGACTGAGTCACAGAAGCAGCAGAATATTACAGAGCTGGAGGTGTCAATTGGCAGGGGATGCCACGTGTGGGCAAAATCTGCAATATCCTGTCCAATCCAGAGGGAAGCATTGTGTGGTGAAAAGCCCCTTCTTCCAAAAACACACGTGTTCTTGCAAGGCTTATTACTGCAATGTTCCATGCGTAGTAATGCTATGTTACAAACAAATCTGGGTGCTTTGGCTTCGTGCAATTGCTGAAACTGAAAACTAGGATTATAAAACTGCTGCTGTTTGCATCATTCTAGAGATACTACAGAACTTTTCTCTTTGTCTCCCTTTTTTTTGTTTTTCCTCATGGAAGCATCATGTGTTTATGAAAGTAGGGGAAGAGAGGAAGAAAGGCATCTTTGGCTTGTACACTTAAATCATAGAAATTGAAGAGATCTACTTTCATATTAATTTTATACATTTATTGTTATCCCCTGAACACATAAGTCATTTTTACCAAAATAAGATGTTGTATATGTCCCAAACAAGTACTGATTTATTGTAGTGCAGAAGCAGACAACATTTAAGTGGCATTGTGCTAGACAGATAAGACAAACCCCTAAATCAGTCTACCTCAACCCTATCCAGCAGAGAATGATCAGTTATACCTGCGTGAAAAAGGGATAAAATGCATACTAATATAAGTTGCATCAATTTAGGTTTTGTTTGGGTTCATCCCAGGGTTGCCATGTGATAAAGGCTAATGTGCTATTACTTGATCATGATTTCCATCTAGTGGCAAGGGACAGTAATAGCCTAGTACAGTTGATTCCTTCCTGTTTTTGATCCCTGTATATCACTGGTATATCAAACCGATGTAGATTATACAGGAATTTGCGTGTGCCTGTGTTCATAGCTGCATATTAACTACGTAAAATTGAAAACAATATAATTCCTCCACTCAGCTATGCAGTTATATCCATATAAATATACTTACAGTAGTGAACCAGATTCTCGTGAGCATGGGTAAAAAACAGCATCTATTCTAACAGTCATATGATCTAACCATCAGTTTGCCCCTAACCAGCCTAGTTACATGGGCATAATAATTGTAACAGCAGTCCAAAGAGATTCTCATCTACATATGTAAAATTCACTTCTTAGAGGCTAAATATTAAAAATATACTGATCAATGTCTTACTTACAGACTGACTGCTGTCTAAAAAGGTACAGATTTCATGGACAAGTCTTTTTCTCTGATCCTTATTCTTCCTAAAAAAACAAAGTGGACATTTTAGACTGTCCATATTTTTGTAACTTATTTTGGTGTATATTAAATGTAAATCAAGCAGAACAAAAGGTAAAACCTGAGCAAGATGAAAGAGTTCCTTTGTGTCAGCTTTTATGAGAAGGTACTTACAAGGTTTGCAAATAGCTTTCATTTTTCACCAGCACCTGCTCACCGTTTTCTGTATAAAACATGCAGATATTAGAGGATTACATTTTTATGAATATAATAGCTCTCTTCCAAAATGGTCATATTCAGGAATAATAATAGCAGCAGAACAAATAGCACAGAGACCCACTGCTTCTAAAGATTGTCAAAATCTGGATAGGTTGTAACTGTGCCTATTGTTCCAGGTAGGCGGACCCGGCACAACCCATAGAGCTGAACAGGACTCTAGGGGTAGATCGCTGCAGATGTGTGGATTTAAAGTACAGAATGACTAAGCTAAGACCCAGCTGTATTTATAAATACTGTATCTGTTTTATATTAATTTCTTACAGAAAGTCTATATCACAGTGCAAGGTGCGATTTCACAGCCACTGTAGACATACCAGAGATAACTTTAAACACGGTACTGATACCGGTATAACCGTAGCAGCATAGAACCATGCAGGCTGAAGAACCCACCAGAAAAGGAGTAAATACCCAGGTACTTAGCTTTGTACTACTGCAGGTGCCTAGTTTCAAGCCAGAACGGGTACATCTATAATCCCTTGGCCTGCAAAGCAGATGTAACTATAGCTGTCCTGCTGACTTGTGGAAACACTTTTTGTGCACACAGACTGCATTTATTGATTAATATGCAATCGTTCCAACTCTTACTAGGGTAAATGGAGGAAGTGGGTCCAAGGTTTCTAAGCACCTGGATCCTCCGAGACTGACTGTCCTCTCTAATACGGCCTCAAAAAGGAGTTTAGCTCAGCATCTTACAGAATTTGTGGCTCCATTTTGGATAATACGGTACGATCAACTTTCCCAAATCAACAGGTGAGCCTCATTACTCTGGTGTACATAATACCTGAAAAGATAGCATTGTTGATCTTACTCCTGGCCATGTGATATACCTCTCATAAAGATATTCAAGAGTTGGCACTTACCCTGTTTTTTAAGTAATGGCATTTTGAAAGTGAAACCTGGAACACACAAAAAAACAAAACAAAAAAACCCAAAAACAAACCAACCTAAAGATGAGCATAGACTAAACCTATTTCCTTCAGTGCATGCTACTGTTTTCCTACTTTAAGTCTCCTTTTCCCGCAGTCTGTTTTTAATAGCTAAATGGAAGGAAGGGTAGGAAATTTACTTTTTAAGCAGAGGGAAAGGAGAAGATGACGGGAACTTGCCCTTTAGCTCCTACCCACGTCTGGGAGGAGTGCTGCTCTCTCTCAGACCACTGGAAACAGTGACACAAAGCAGTACATCACGCTAGCCTGAGACATAGCAGGATTCCTACCCAAACTGTAGCCTTTTTGCCACTATGATGATGTTCTGCACCAGCAAATGCAGCAAACACAGCCAAGTCTCCAGTGAAACGACAGGGTCATTAGCAGTATGCAGTCGCAAATGCTGCCAGTAAACCTTTCAAGTATGGATGTGGCCATAGATCAAAAATGCAATAGCAGTCGTGTACTGTAATACACTTTTCCTGGATAGATCTGAAAGCAATTAAAAAAGGAAAGCAAGCACTACGGTTCTTGTTTTACACCTGGGGGAAATTGAGCCCAAGTGACTCAGCTGTACAGTAAGCCAGTGGCACAGGCAGGATCAAGAATTGTGTCCTACTGTTTTATCCCATGGGATCCTATAATGATGCTGATTCTGCAAGCATACTTAGCTATGTGCCTAATAAAGCTAAGTATACACATTTCTGCAGGACTGGGGGTCTGCCATCATCTAGATATCTTATGATGTCTCAAAGTTCACAATTCCTCTGAATGCCAAAAGAAATAAATCCCCAAGATGTTACACTGTCAACAAAAGTATTAGCATCCATAAAATCCCCACGGTTCAATCTTGAACTACAGTAATTATGCAGTATAACCCTGAACTATGGTAGAGCACAGTTTGTCAGCCAGAACGTCCATGTTTGAACCATATCCCACGCAGCGATTCCTATTTTGGTTTTTTTACACGTGGTAACAATACAATCAGCAGGATGTTAGTGCCAGGAGTCCTGCTGAGTGGGATGTTGGATGCCCTTATGGAAGGGCTCCTAGCAAACTTAATAGAGGCTGAGGGCAGCTGAGACTTCAAGGGTAGATGACAGCGGATAGCACGCACATAAACAATACAGCCTGACCCAGCTACCCTACCCCAAGGTGAGGAGGAAGCCTGTATCTAACACTCTGCTATGAAATGTCAGAGATTCCCAAGCTGTATTTTGCACACAAAAACCAGGAGGTCTCACAGAGAGGACAGGTTGAACTTTTTAATGGTCAGGCGCAACTTCCAGGAGGGACCTCAACCTTTCCCCTCTCCTATCTGAGGGAGAAGGAGCCTGGGGCTCATTCCTCACCCCCAGCATCCCCCATAGTCCAACAAGGCTTGGGACTGGAAACCCCATCGCAGCTCTCCCCTTTCTCTGCTGCAAAAAGATGTTGGGGGCTTAAAATGACCCTCCCCGCTGTATTATCCCAGCTAGGAAGTCCCTGACAAACCCCCTCAGCCCTGAGGGGCTGGGGGACACCCCACAACCCTATTATTATTCAAGCTGGGAAGCTGGGAGACCCTCACAGCCTCCCTGAAGACCCTGCCGGTCACCCCAGTGAAGGGGGGTCATGTTTTTATTCCTGACAGGAAACCGGTGTGTCTTGTGGTAGGGGGGATGAGACCCCTACAGCCCCTCCACCCTCAGACAGGAGACCCATGTGTCTTGTGGCGGTGGGGATGAGACCCCCTTGACCCCCACCCTGAGGTGTCTGCACAGAGCTCATCCCCAGGAGCGGGCGCACCCCCAGGCGCTGGAGGCGGGGGCGCCCCACTCCTCACCCCTCAGGGAGGAGACGAGGGCCCCGCCCAGTAACGGTCGCACGGGGGCTGCAACCGCCCGGGGTGGGGGAGGCTGCCTGCAACGCTTGCGAAGGGCGGACTCAATTCGGAGTCACGCCCCACTCCAACCAGCTGCGATGAGGCCCAGGCGGCCACTTCTTTCCCCACCTCGCCTCCGTCCTCAGTGACTCTTGCAGAGTCCAGGGAGCCCGCATCAGAGGCTAAATAATAATAATTAATAATAATAATTAAAAAAAAAAACAAAGCAACGAGCCCGCACGTTGGGGATTTGCTCTGGTGCAACATGGCAACATCAGGAGCTACAAATGATCGCTCCGTTTTTGGCTTTTTTTGTGGGTTGTTTTTTTTTTGCAAAAGAGCTATAGGAGCTTTTTTTTTTTTTTTTTTGAACCCACGAGGATGGGCTACCCCCCCCCTCCCTCCCCCCGCAGGTGGTTGCAATGCTGTGCTTTGCAAAACGCCTCCTGTGCAAGACCTCCCCGCGCAGCCGCACTCGCACGCGCAGCGAAGGGCTGTCAAGGCTGGCCGAGAGCGCGGCGCACTCACGCCCGGCTGCAGGCAGCGGGAGCAGGAGCTGGAGGCTGGGACTTGTAGTGCAACTCCGCTGCTGGCGGGCGCCGGGCTTCGGCGCGCGGACTACAGCTCCCAGGGCCGCCGCAGGAGGGAGTGAAGCCGATCCGCTG